TCCATGATGGCACACAAGCGTGGAGGCTTCCCGCCTTTGCCGGCCAGGAGCAGGGGAGGGGGAGAGCCTTGCGTTCGGGGGGGAAGAACTGGAGATTGGATTCATACCCCGCTGCCCTTCACTACCCAAAGGTGTCTCAGAGTGGCTTACAAACTCCTTTTCCCTTCCCCTCCCCACAAGACAGGCACCCTGTGATGTAGGCAGGGCTGAGAGAGCTCTTGACAGAAACGGCTTTTTCAAGAACAGCTCTTATCAGAACTATGGCTTGCCCAAGGTCATCCAGCCAGGTGCAAGTGGAGGAGGAGTGGGGAGTCAAACCTGGTTCTCCCAGATCAGCGTCCGCGCACTTAACCACCACACCAAAGTGGCATATGAAGTGCAAGGCCTAGGACCTCTGAAGGATGTTCCGACCCACTACACCAGATCTACAGCAACACAGTGACCTTTTCCATTGGCATTCCGGTAGAAGGAATTGGTAGAGTTGCATTCTGGTCCACCTTTTATACCTGTGTGAAACACTATAGGTGGACCAGTGAAAATCAGCAGAAACTCCATCTGGTAGAAAGGTGTGCAGCATAGTGGTAGAACAGGATAAAAATAAGAATGAGGATCCCACTCAGGTTGTGGCTTAGGCATATAACCAGTTTGGATGACTTCCCCCCCGAAGGAGAACAAAACATTGGAACTTACCTGAAGGTTTCTTCTCTTCAGTGGGGCGAAGTCATCCACTTCCCACCCAAAATAAAGCAGAATAAAATCTAGTTGGACACAAAATCTGTTATGAAGCTGGGCTATACGAAGATTGGAGGATCAGCCTCGCTCTGAGCCAAGACAGTCTACACAAATTTGCACAGCCCTGCCTGGGGCGAGAGGAGGCGTGGCCTAACCAGTCTGGATGACTTCGCCCACTGAAGAGAAGAAACCTCCAGGTAAGTTCCAATGTTTCGATGTCTTTCCTTTACACCTAACAGCCCTCTAGAACAAGCAAACATTTAGGTTTCAAATGAAGTTGCCTCTTACATGTAAGACAGGGTCTGCCAGCCTAGAGGGGATGGAAAAAAGCATGTGTTTCACTGAAGAAGTAGTTTCCCTTTGAAGGCAACCATGAACTTTGTAAGAGATGACATCACTGGCTCCTTGCAGGAGGGGTCCCCAACGTGGTGCCCACCAATGTCTTTCCTGGTGCCCATGAGCCAGATGGGGGTTTTGCCAGGCCACTTGGTGGTTGTGCCACCACCCTGTGGAAGAACTGTAAAGATGTCTGCAGGCTCAAAAATGTTGGGGACCCCTGCCTTAGAAACTACAGATGAGTGAAGATACCAGAAAACATTTACACACACCATAGGCCCTCCATAGCTGTGATCAGAGTTTTAGTATCTTACATTTTGCCCTCCTTGGACTCAATATTGTTTCATTTCAACTATCTTTGTACCTTTTTTTTCCTAAAGGGAAGGTGGTTCAAGCAGGCTCTACCAACAGAAGTGCCTTGGCACCACAGAGCCAATTAGTGTTCCCTGAGCCTCATGAATTCAGAAAGCACATCTCATTTCTTGAGAGGTCCTGCTGACACCCCTTTCCATGCAATAAGAGCCAGTTATGCTGCACACCAACCGGATGAAAAAGCAACTGCAAGCTTTGAATCAAGAGTTGAGTTTCATTACACTGAATGTAACATAGTAAGCAAGAGGCAGTTAAAAGCTTTCCCTTTGTCAGACCGCCAGCAGCTAAACACCTAAAAGAGGAGTCGTAGTCATTTCTCAAAGCAAGATCCTTGCACAGAATGAATGCAGTTCCCTTTGCAACCCATTCAGAGATACTGAACAAATCCCTCCCCACCCCCATCTACTTGCCAAGGCTTCTAACTGCAGACCACAAAGGGACAGAACAAAGTTTGAGTCCAGTGGGGGCACCTTAAAGACAAACAAAGTTTTATTCAAGGTATAAGCTTTGGTGTGCACACGTCCTCAGATAATAATGAAATGGAAGTTACCAGTCCATACATATAGGTAGAGGGTGAGAACGGTAAATTAGCATACAGCATAATGAAGATGTTTAACAGATTCAAGAACCAAGCAGGAATAATGAGCTTAGTTTATATGGTTACCATTTGCTTGGGTTTAATTCCGGGGGGAAACATAGTGAAGGAAATAAATAAGTCAAAATTGGAGACTGATGGGCAGATGTATTCTTAATTGCAGAATG